TGCCAGGCTATAGCTGTGAGTGAGTGCCAACAATTTCCTGCAGCCATAATAGCAACACCTCTGGGCAGCGAAAAGAGATGAAAGTCCAAGTACAAGTAAGTGCATGACCGTGAGAACCACCTGCAAAAGGCTCCTGGGCTAGTGATACTTCCACTTAAAGGGGTCATTTGAATTAGAAGCTATAGGTACAGCAATACACCTTCATTTGTGAAAATGACAAACTGTGCCTTCAGATAATTTTAAAAGTCAAATGTCCTTACAGAAAGTTTGTTGATCTGAAATGAGTTGTTACATGGAACTGTATTCACTTCAAATTTGCTCATGAAAGCTCTGTGCAACACTGACACACATTGGGAGGGCAAGTAGAGGCAGCTTAACTGAGGTTTCTCCACAGCATTTTTTCCCTTGCTTTTTATCACTCCAGTACTGGTCTCAAAATATTCTGCCATACTTTTTAAAGACAGCAGTTCTCTTTGTTGGAGAGTCAGTTAGGAAGGTTTTGGTTGCAAACCCCATGTTTTCAAAGTTAGACAAAGATACATTTTTCATCCCTTCTTATGAATGAGGCCTGCCCGACTGGCTAACTACAGATGGTAACAAGGCTGATTCACTTTCCATCCAAACTGCAATTTGTCTTTAGGGTCCAAGGAAATGGTTGTTTTAAAAGTGGTGCAATTTTATGAACACGGCACTAGAGGTCCTTAGACGGCTCAGGGTTAGAAACAACATCAACTAACAACATAGAAAAAGATGCATGATTTACAATTTCTGTTTACATTATATGATCACTTTCTGAGTCTAGGTGACTTTGTTAATTTTTAACTGCTTGACTGCTGGGTCCTTTCCTTCTGGCATTTCTGATGTTCCAGTGGGAAATTCTTTAAACAGTTAAGCAGAGATGGTTGCAAATGTTTTGGTATTTTGTTGTTCTCGCCACAGAAAATGCATAAACGTTCAATTCTATTGCTTGCAGGTTCCAAGATAGATTTTCAAATTCCTCAGTCATATTTGCCTTTGCTCCCATGTCATGCCAGGTAATGGAACCTAGGGGGCTAGTTGGCTCAGACCACACACACAAAGGCCACAGAAACCAAATCACTAAGAAATCTTGACCAACACTTTCCACTCATTTTCTCAAATTCCTTCCAGATCAAGGATAAGAAAGTATCTTTGGTATTTTTAATAGCTTTGGCTAGGTTAAATTTTGACAAGATGAAAAAGTTTCAACTATTTAAAAATAATAGTTGTTTGGTGTTTGTTTGTTTTTTGTTAGTTTTGTTTTTTTACAGTCACTATTGGAAATGTTTGTTTCCAGAAATGAACACCTTTGCAAAGTAGTGTTTTTGTTTTTTTTTTTTTTTTTAACAGACTTGTTATAAACTTTTTCATTAAAAATATTATTAATAACTTCTCAAAAATATCCAAGAGAAAAAGTGGTTCCTTTTAAACCCTGAAAAACAGTACAATAAAAATGAATGTTTGTAAAGCTTTTTTCCTCATCTTCAACTACTTTGGGCCATCGATTGGCTTTTATAGCACAACTTAGTTCATCCAAGTAGAACCAGTATTCAGGTGAATGGCGATGAGATGAAAACTGCAGAAAGTTTTCAGGTAACTGAGACCCAGTGAAGGACATATCCTACATCAGGATAGCAGCAGCCTGTCGATGACCGGGCCCATCCCAGCAGCTGTGCAGCCTCACATTTTGCGTCCTCACCTGAGGATAACACATCCCCCCTGTAGGTGCTGGATGATGCAACAGGTATTTCAGACTTGGACAATCCCTGTGCAATGCTTGTGCTTTTTACAAAGCTCACATCACAAGACTTGACAGCTCCTAGGAAGACTTTTTCCTTCAACTTTTCTTTGAGTTGTGTCCTAACAAGGCAGGTGCCTGCAGGACTCAGGTCGACTCCTGGTTCCCTGCTGCTAGGTAATCTCTGTGACAATAACCCTGAGCAATTATGAATGAAGGGCCCTGAGGCATTATTAATTTGTTAGCTGAGCATATTTTGAATGTGTTGAACTCCCTGTTGATAGCTAATTTCATTACTGCTGCTTAATTAATATAGACTAAAAAATGGCATGGATAGTTCTCAACCTTGACTAGGGCCATCATCCCAGGACAGAAGGGTCTGGGAAATGTGAGCCGTATACTGCTAGAATATTTTAACTACACTGATATGATAATCAGACTTGTGTCTAGCTAGGCTCACACTCACAGGGGAATATAGACTCTTAATTTCCTTGAAATCCCTCGGAGTCCAGCACCTGAATACCTTTGCATTCTGCACCACAGAGCGGAGACTGAGGCCTTTAGTTCAACGTAACTCAGTTCATCCTATTTGGAAGCTGGGCGATACAAAAAAGGCCTCCAAAACACAAAGAAGTCCATATCTTCATGTGACCAATGAACCAGCAAGCCCCAGGCAATGCTGACTGCAGGAAATGGAACAAAAAGTGCAGAGACAACACAGATCAGATGTTCATAACACTGTCTGCAAAGGGAAAAGCGACCAGAGGACTCCAGATAACAGCCATTGTTTCCAGGAGGCATTTGCTCAAATGATAAATTTTCAGCAAATCACTGAAGTCATATTTGACATAACTGTATGCGAAGAACATCTTGATGAAGCTGGAAAAACAAGTCTCTTTAGAAACCTTTCATAAGCAATGAAGGAGCGACCAGGCTAAAAGCAGTTTAATAACATATAAACCACCTGCTACAATTACAACGCTACAATTCCTGGGAGAACTCACATGACCTTTTCACAATCTATGAATAAGGAGCCTATGCAAACCTGAGCCTCCAAAGACTTTCCCAAAATAAGCTTTTTTCACTGCTTACATAGACACTCAAGTTCAGGGATGGATGCAATCCAGGTTTTAGCAGAGGGAAGGCTCTGATTGGTATCACAGGCTATGCGAACACATGGTCTACTTGTCTGTGTCAGGGTGGAAAGAAGCAGCTCTTAAAAGTTTCTCCCTTTCCCAGTGAATCTGCCAAGTCAGCAACAGTGACTGGAGAACCTGTGTCATGCTGCGAATAGTACAGAGTAACACAGCATATCAGGCTAAACCAAAGCAACATGAGAGATCAGAACATGAAGTCAATAAATGTTATGCGTATACATAATAGAATGATTCAGTAAGTCTAAGAAAAAGATCCTGCTCTCTTTCTTGGAAGGGTCTGAACCATATTACACAGTCTTTGGAATTACAGAGGTTTCTGGGAACTCTGTATAACTTTGCTTAAGACAGCATTGATTCTAGCAAAGTCTGCCCTCCAACCTGCACTTTTTTTGCTCTCCAGGAGACTTTAGTGCTTTCTAGTGCCTTCATTTCATTGGTGTAGGGCTCTACAGCACCTGATGATCCAGGTCAAAAGTTGCAAGGCCACCAAAATCCCTGTCTGTTCACTCTCCCATCAGTAAGACTACGATCACACTCTGATGCCTCCTCTTTGTCCCTCACTAGCAGCTTCCTGCACATCTTTCTTACATTTCTCCAGTTGATGGCATCCAGCTGGCAATGACCAAAGACCCTCCCCAGAAATCCAGGGCCCCTCAGAGCCACACTAACTTCAGATGCAAGCTCAAGTTTGTGAGGATAGAACCAAAGATCAGGTTGTTCTGCTAATTTTAGCTACAGCACTAGAAGAACCAGGGTCTTCACGTTTCCCATCTTCTGAGGTTAAATGACAGACTACATGCCTCAGTAAGCTTGGCAATTCATAATTTGAAATCCTTTAGAATTCTTGGGTAAATACCTGCTCGCCCTGCTGTATTTTACACTGTTTAACAACCTCCTCCAACAACACTGAGCTGAGAAAATGACCCTGATTCACCCCCATAAAAGAGACTGTCATGGGGAAATCTACTTAGGGACCTTCACAGTGATCCTGCAGTTAAAACAAATGCAAAGAATTCATTTAGTGTTCCTGCTGTGGGCTAAAACTTCCTCAATTCTTTTGCAGAATCCTTCTCTGGCTCTCACTCCCTTAGCTCACTCCAATTCCAGCCCATAGTCCTAGAAGAGAGACCAGCTTTCTTCATTATAGGAATATCCCCACCTTGTGACAGGAAATCACCTCCAGAATATTCAAGTTTCAAAACTTTTTCTTTTATTATTTTTTTTTTTTAATAGGCAAGATCTGTGGATGTTTAGTATAGGCTTAGTGTTAAAGCCTGAATGTAATTTGATAAACAAGAGTTCTGCAGTTAAATCCCTGAAAACATGGAAGATGATCAGAAAATAAAGAGGAACAAATCTTCCTTCTAAACCAGGAGAACACTTTAAATACAACAGAGCACTATCCTTGTTTGTATCCACGTGGTTTTATGTTAAGAAAACACTATCAACCTAAATGTTAACTATGTTTTCTGTCATGACCCAGAAGTTACTGCAGCTGCTGCCCGCTTTTAACAAACCTCCAGATTTCTGTTGATTGAAGCTTCTGTTGTCTGTATTGTGGTTTTCCTGGGAATATTTGACAAAGGGTGTCAGGAGCACTAAAGAAGACTAATGGACAGCTTGCTTGCACTTCTTGGAAGATGATAGTGAAAATTAGCCTTCAGAAGTTTAGCAGAACTCAAACATACAGCTTGTAAAGGAGTTTTCAGGGACTCAGCTTATTTGCTTATAGCTTTTTTTTTTTTTTTTTAACTGCTGCATGTTGCTAAGTTAAGAACATGCACTAACTGTGGGACATGATCAGACCAGATGCTCAACTTGCTTAGTCACCTGTTTCAGGTCTGACAGTATAGAGAGGGATTACAAGAATCTTTCACTTCGATTAATCTACTGAACAGAGGAAAAAGGGTCTAAAACAAGAAATAACTAGTGAAAACCATGGCTCCGGTGTCCTCCATTTCTATACTGATCTGCAGGGGGGACCCCACTAATGGGGGCAATCTGCCATTTTCAGAACTCCGTGTTGGTAGCCAGTTTGTTTTAAAATTGGCTGCTGAAATAGAGGAGATTGCGAACTACAGGCTTACCTTAGGGAGTCTGTACTTTTCTCTCAGATGAACCCTCAGACAGGCTCGCTCTGCTTTTTTCTGTACAAATGCTGCATCTCTTTCCATCCTGGAAATCAGAAAAAAATGTTTCTTCAAGATACTGATAAAATATGGTCTTTTACACTGAACCAGATGCTTGGCTGCAAAAACCTACAGACAGGAGTTATTCGCAGAGTTATTTAACTTGTCCAAAGGCACAAAAGGAGCGACAGCAATAAAATGATGCTTAGGGGCCAGACTTTTGATACCCGCAAGTTGTTCTCAGAACAGTTCCCTTGAGTCCTGTGAAGAACAAATGATAAGCCAATACTACTTGTTTGGAGTTTGTACCTGTACTAGCTCTTATTGCTCACTATAACAATGAACAATTCCAATAAGCAGAACAGAAAAGTTACACTTATTCCTTGCTTATTCCACTGGGGCACTTACAGAGATGCAGCTGCCTGCCAATCCTCCTGTTCTACAAACGTGGTATTCTCATAGTATGACAATGGCATTCTCATAGTCTAACAACACACACACAATGGCAGAATGGTCTTTCTGGGTCAGACCCAAAGTTTACCTATCCTCAAGTCCCATCTCCAACAGCAGACAGGAGTGGATGCTTAGAGAAATAATTTAAGAGAAGGATAAGAATCCTGTATTAAAACTGCCCAGCTTCCAAAAATCAGCTGTGTAGGCTACTGGAGCTGCATATTGGCTCTACATCGTTGTCTTTAATAGCTCTGGATGGCCTCTGTCACCTGTGAGTTTTCCTGGTCTTTTCTGCACCATTCATTGTTTCAGAACATCCCACAGCAACGAATTCCACAGCTTCACTGTGTGGAAAAGTACTTCTATTATCTCTGATTTTATAAAATGCTTTCATTAGATTTCAGAACTGGTCAGCACAATTTTTGGTTAGATTACTTATGTATTTATTTGCAAAATATGTCTCCTCAGAGATTTTTGGCAACATTTGATAACACTCACCTTCTCTTGTCTCCCCTCCTCCCCCCCCCACACCCCCCCAAGAAGCATTGTCATGGAAATTCTATGGCAAAATTAATTTTGTTCCAGTATAGGTATTTTGTCACATAAAAGCTATTTGCAAGATGAAATGTTTTTTGTTCCCCCCCCCCTTCCACAAGTCAGTTTTTGTGTTTTGTTTTCTCTCTCTCTCTCTCAAAAAAGAGGAAGAGGTTCACATTAACTGGAAGCCATTCTAAACTTCTTTCAGCCACCCATAGATGGGAATATTGGAAATATATTTTCTGGGATATTTTCGCTCTCTTTCTCAATGTTCCTCTCCTGTTGCCCACTCCCTCTCCAGAGGAGCCATTGACAGCCACAGCTGGTACTGGGATCTGTTCCCACAGGGCTGTGACCGCAGCATTGCTACACATCCCTGTAGAGGACAGCCCCTATGAGGCTGAGGGGCACCAATTCCTCAGGACAGTTCCGCCGTAACAGACACGTGCCACACTTTGAAACATTATAGAAACAATTCTTTTTCCAAGCATTTTCCTTATCCCAGGAATCCCATTTTGCTTCTCAGTCTCAATAAAGCATCTTCCTGCCAGCAGGTGGTTAGTTCTCTTTTAAACATCCCTTGACAACATGCATAGTAAAACATTCTGTATTTTATTCCAAACCAAATGATACCTAGTCAAGGTTTTATGATAGAAATGGCTGCTGCTAAATACAGACCTGGATACCTCAAATTCCATCAGTCATTAACCCTTCACTTATAATCATCTTACATGAAGGATTTACACAACCATTATGTAATTGACCATTAGAGGAACAGATGCATTTGAAATTTAAAAGTCAATTGTTTTATTTATAATTATGCATTATTTGAACTCCTACATGTTAAGCCCTTTATTTTACTTCTATTTTGATATTTAAACACAGTAAATGGTAAAGATTATAATTACAGATAAAATAAAATTGTGAGTTAATAAGTTGAAAAGTTCTGCTTTATTTATTAGATTTTAGAAAAAATAACTGAAAATGCAACTACAAAAATTAACTGTCTTAAAACTTTTCTCTAGATAAATATAATCTATTTAACATCTTTTTCATATCTGCCATAATAAATGTGTACAAAGAAAAGATTATGTATTGAAAGTGTACTCCACATGGAGTTCTAGGAGAACAAACCATACACATTTTAGAATTAACTCCTGCACTACAAACTTTTATGCCGATGGAAAAATTTGATAGATAAAGTAACATTAACTAGGAATGAATCCAGCATATCAGGGTGTGGAGATAGCAGGAAAGTGTAGGAGAGAGTTGCAGGATGAGGCAGGGGAAGGGGGAACATAATATTTTATAATTTCCAGTTGGTGAACTTTTATTTTGTAAAGTCTCTTTAGCAAAGATTCATCTGCTTTAAAAAAAATGGAAGAGAGCTGAATGTTTGCCTTATTTTTATCTGCATTATCTGCACAAAGTGACCAAGAATCAGCCCCATACTGATAATAAGGGAACAGGTACTCACTTCTCCTCAACCATTTGCTTTTGATATTCCTCATACTCCTCTCTGGTCATTCCTGCAGCTGCTGCTGGATCAGAAGGAGCATTTTCTTCTTTTTTTTCTTCCCCTCCACCTCCAAGTCCCAAATTCTTTACCTGGTTGCTCAACATACTTTTCATTAGAAAGGCCATCTTCTCAAAAAAAAAAGGAGCTATAAGCAAACAACTACAAGAAAAACCAAACCAAACAAAAAAATGTTTTCAAAACCAACAATTGTTAGCAAGAGTTTCTACAGCCACATCAGCTCTTCAAGGGCACAGTGCTAGTGAAATGTGAATGCCAAAACCAGTTTGTCAGCCATAATCTGGATTAAAGAGTGAACTCCTTAATATCTAGAGGCAGATGGTTCAGATTACTCCAAAAAAATCATTAGATGCAGCTACCTACTTTTTATATTAATACTTTAAGCTAATTGTACACACACACACAGAGATCAATTATAGTGTTCTATCAAATACAGAAGTATATTTTGACTTCTTCAGTCTTGAAACTCCCTCTTCCCCAGTCTGCCTCCATCTAGATCACCACTTTGCTGCTGCATAGAATACCTAGTGCTTGTAATTTTAGCTGTCAGTAAAGGAGAACTTAATCTGACTGATTCTATATGCTGTAATACAGCCTTGATATCTTTTGTTTGTGGGCTGCTTGTGTAGGTCCTCATTGTTCAAACTTTTATTCACATCATTAGACTCCTCAGGTGTATTCAGGTGAAGATCTGCAGGATCTGCTCTCTACATCAGAGACTATTTTGGGAAAGAAAATAATCTGCTAGGTCTCAGAAGTTAATTATTTTGGGTTTTGAGCATTTATTCTACTAAGACTGACTGCGCATGCCTTAATGAAACATTCTGTAATTTTGATTACCTAAATGGTTCTCCCAGCACTTTCATAATTTCACTGAGTGATGGGAGGATTCCAGTTTGCTTAATGCCTTAATCTGTATTAAAGTCTTTCTAATTAAAGCAGACCTGTTACTATTAAAAAAAAAAAAGGTGGGACGTTCTGTAATCCTGTATTATTAGTGATTAAACAAGAAACTTTAAATTTCTTTTTGAAATACAGTATCACCCAGAAGCAAGAACTCCAAATCCCAGCAAAATTACTTCGATATGCTACAAATACCTAGAAAGCATTTATCTTAAATCAAAATTTATTTTTTACAATCACTGTGGACTTCCAGAACTATGCATAAATTGCAAGAATCTGTGGGAAGAATCAACTTTTTACATCTGACCAACTCTGACCTTGATTACCAAAACTGTGTTATACTTGCCCAAATGGCTAACAGAACTGAGATCACAGACATGAGATAGCTAATCCCAACTGAAGCAGAGAATGTCAAAATTGAACAAGCATTAGTCTAGTTGAATGCATAAAATTAAATAGAATTTGTTATCTGGCAAAATTTAAAAACTGAAAATCCAGCATCAAGTTTACACATAAGGTATCACTGCTCCCACCTCAGAGAGTTACTTCAAAATGGGCCTGGCAAAGTCAGTCTGACTTTCTGTTATGCCCAAAGACTTCCCTGGTTCAGTTTACTGCCTCTCTGAGGCACTCAAAAGGCAGAAGTGCTGACGGCATCACTTATTTCCCATCCTGGAGCATGTTAAAGAAGGCTGTGTTTGTTCAAGAGCTGACAACTAGCGAGTGCTGCGAGCTCACTACAGAGCAGCTGTAGCTGTGGGCACGACAGTTCCAGCAGAATGCGTCATGACCGACGCTATCGCTGTATCCTTGTGTAATGGGATCATCTGGTAAGTGCTGTCTGACTCCGCTCAACGCTACTTTTATATCATTTTCCCAGCCTGGGGACAATATGGACAAGTAGGGACGGTTCTAACCTGCAACCCTTTTGCCTTTTACTAAAAATCAAGACCTTGATCACTTTGCTGGTATTTTAGATGTCCTGCAAACAGGCCTAATCTGGCATCTCTTTCAGAAGGACAGTCTTTGGATGAGCACCTTGACTGCTGGGCACTAGCGGCAACCCCCGACCTAGAACAAGACTACAAGAGCCTATCTCTGTTATGCAGCCAACTTTAAAAGAAGTGAAAATAAAGGGTTATTTCTATACAATTTGAGTTAATACTGCTCCAAGAGCAAGCCCCTGAAAAAGAAAGAATCAATCCCTAGTTCCTGAACTACAGCCTGACTCACATAAGTGACTTGCCCCACATTGCTCAGAACCGTGGATCTCAAGAGCAGGAGACAGAAAACCCCGAGTGAGAGGAGAAGATGCTTGGTCAGTTCAGGCATCTCTAGAAATAGATAGTGGCTAGATAAAGAGGGCATCGCAACTCTGGATAAAAGTTTTGGTCTTGCTGACCTTTGCATTCTCTGCTTACAACACAAAACTAACAGAAACTGGCAACGTGGACATCATAAACTGGAAGATTATCTTCTCAATCTGCTCCAGCTCCACAGCCAAGCTGTATCTTACACAGTTATGTGGCACAAAAGGGGCCAAGAAATACTGCATGAACCACATACAGATCACAGAGGTTTTCAGCAGCTTGCAACCCCAGAACAGAATTCAAAGTCTTGAAACAGGTAAAACACGAAGAGCAAATTCTAAAAGCCTCACAGGGAGGCTGGCACAAAAACACTATAGGTAGGCAAACATCCCAACTCCCATTCTTTTCTACAGACTATGTTCCCAAAACACAGTCACAGCAGAGAACTCCAACCACATAATTCAAAAGTATCTAAACGTTCTTCAAAAGGACCAAAATGCTCTCCTTGCCCAGCTTCATCCCTCGAGAAGATGTCACCTTTTATATAAGTCAGAACAATAGATCACTTGCACAGAAAGAGGGAAATAAATATTTTGGGGCTTTCTCAGCTTGAATAGGTTCAATTGAAGATTCCTCTCCTCCACTTATTAGAGAAATTGCTCCTGGCTGGGGGAAAATGATGGTCAGTATGGGAATTCTTACTCTTCCTGTGGGAGGTTACTACTGACATACAGTTTACTGGATAGAACAGTAAAAACAAAAGCCAAAAAACCACAAACCCAAAGGAGAGACAGACTGACTTGTTTCGAGTAGGCATGTTGTATTCCAACAAACGTGAACAGAGCACCCTGGTGACAGCAGTTTGGGGAATCTGAAGAAAGAACCTGATACAGGCAATCTTCATCTCAGACAAATGAGGTACTTCGTATACTCAAAACAGCCAGCAAGCAACCCAATTTGCTGTTCAGATGTAGAAGTTGATATACTACTTGACATTTGTCCCTAAGCATCTGACACTCAAGGCAAGTCTGATACTCTGAACACAAGGTTTTGAGCAACTATCTTACTTATAGGTTAGAATCACTCTAGGCTGGATTCAGCGTACCTTTCTAACCAAGGGCAGTCATCTGTCTCTGCAGGACAGGCGGATCCTCAGCCTCTGAGTGCTATTAACTCTCCAGTATCAGGTAGGACTGAACCCAGATGTCAAAGTGTTCAAACTCTCTGAACAATGGAGGTTAAAGAATGCTTCAAATACACTGCTTGGATTTCATGGACATGTACCAAATTAAAAGAAAAAAGCTTACTAAAAATATGCATCTTTATTCAAATAAGGTTCTCTCTGAACTCCAAGTGTCAATTTACATTAGTCAGAAACAAACACATGAAAGTGTCAGCTGTATGAATTTAAAAAAAAACAACAGTAGAAAGTCTTCGGTGTTACAGTAATTGATGCATTGATAAATGTCAAATTTCCTTCAAACAGAAAGTTAAGTAACTTACAAACCATATTGTGAATTTTACTTTTGAAAGATTCAGGTGTGACCATGTATTTAATATACTCTGACCAGTACAACGAGATTCTCTTGTCACTGCCAAATATTTGCTACTTATCATCCACACTTCAAATATGATTATTAGACCTGTTCTCCATTTATCAAACTGGATTCCAAGGTGTCTTCTCCTCCTAGTCCCAAAATCTTACCTGATAAGAATCAAACACACTATCAAGAGTTGAAAGAAACTTCTAGTAGCCAGCCCTAACAGGAGGCTACATTGACTGACAAATACTCTTAAAGTCCAAATTTGTTGCTATCACTTCAAGAATAGACAGGACAAAATTTGAGCTGGGCAACTGGGAGCTTTCCTTTGATCCAGTGAGTGATGAGGCAATTATGGAAGGTCCAAGGAGAGACGACTGTGAAATGAAGCATGAAGCAAAGTTATCACTTTTTGGATGTTATGCTTTAGACCTTCTGCTCCCTAACACCAAAGTTCCCTAGTTGCACGTGGGAGATACGTCAGATCTATTAGCAGCATAAACACACAAGCTGAGCCTCATACTGAAGATGTGACTGTAGGTTCAAGTTTTCCCCTAAACACCATCCCCAGCCTTCTCTACTTTCTAATAAGACACAAAAGTACGGGCTGCTCCAGCTTAAAAACAAAGTTACGGTTGGATAAATTCACAGTAACAAAAAATACCAGCTTCCTCCAATTGATACATTAGAGCTGCTCCTCATTATGCCAGATATATGCACTTAACAAAATACAATTGCTAGCCTTTCTGTATAAAGGGTCTTGCAAAGCCTGTTGTGAGAGAGGGAGTTCTGTTTAGGTGTTGCACTGATGCAGGAAGGCTTGCCACTGAAAGGAACACCACTGCACATTTTCAGAACAATTTAAGAAAAATATATCAAGTTTAGTTAGAAGAGTCAGGGTTGTAATAGCTTAGACTCAAGGCACCTGAAAATATTTGCTGGTGTTGAAAGAACTCAATGGATAAATTCCTATGTCTTATTCTGGCTTACATGAAAAGTTTTTTTTCAGTGATTTACCCTATTTATTCAGGAATATTAGCTTGAGGCAGTAGTTTCTCCAATTAGTACAGCAAAATCTTCTCAAATTTAGAAATTAATCTACAAAGCTATACCATTTACAGTACACTACATACTGTAGCTATGTAAATAGGTGTGTAGGTAGTATCATTTTAGTGGTACAGCAGACATCTACTTTTTGGACATTATTTTAAGTAACAAAATATATTGCATAGATTTTTCATTTCTCCAAAATGACAGGCACAATACTGAAGTGTTCTTAATTACAGCAAATTTGGCAGTATGTGTTACACCCCAAGGGAGCAGACTGTAGGAATGCAGTAGTAGTATGCTAAT